GAGAATACGCTTTCTTCATTGTTCATTTGGATGGTAACTCCCTTTATTCTCCATGGGACAACGATATCTGGCTAGTGGACCTATTCCAAACAGAAAAGGTGAATGCAGTCATGTGAATCGTCCTGTGGAATAGTTATTTTAAGAATATTGAAACTGAGATATTTAAAATTGGAGTGACAGCTGATTTTTTTTTAATCATCAAAATCCATGTATTGCTGGCTTACCGATGTAAAATTTCGTTGAAATGTCGCTCACTCTTCTTGTTATTGGTGCGTCTATTGTCTCCGATAAAGTTCCTATTCGAATAATAATTTCTTGTGAAACATCGTTAACGGCCTAATTGCTTGCGACAATGGCTTTGGTTATAAAAATGAAGCAAATAAAATCTATTTCGAATTTCAAAATTTAATCGAAATATTTTTTATGCATGAAAAGCAATTGGCAACTGAATAAAGTAGCAAAATTTTTTTTAATTTCCATTTTTAGCATTTAACCGGTTGATTTTTATTTATTGAATTACTTGCTTTTCATATATTTTGTGCAAATTTTTAATTGATTCGTTTTATTTTCAATCTAAATTGGAAAATTGGAAAATTTTTTTTTTTGACTCTTTATTTACTTCTTATGCGAATAAATAATAAAAAAAGAGCTTTCTTTCCATGGTTGGCAACTTGAATTGGAAAATGATTCTTATCAATTGATAATTTTTATCGAATGATGAGAGATTTTCACTAGAACGGTCCATTTGCCTCTGCAATAAAAGCAGGTGATTATTGCGATCACACCTATTTTTAATGAGTTCTTAAGCAGTTAAATAATATCAAAATATTTTCTCAATTTTGGTACTGATTCGAGATGCTTGCTTTTATAAGAAGCATTATAAGGTTTTACAATTCAATTTTATTAAATAGAAAGGAGAATTTTAGCCAGAAAATAATAATTTAGCCTCTAAACTTTTTGCAAAATACAAAGTACAAAATTTAATAAAATTAGCTAAATTAGAAATTTCTGTGTGCATTCCTTCCTTTCGCTACAGTTTTTCTTTGCATGATATCAAATAAAATAAAAATATGAATTTCATCGACTTTCGAAATTCGAATTCTCACATTCCATAGTTTTTATTTATTTTTTAGATGGTCCTATTTGTTAATCGTAGCATTAACTGTCTGTCTGTCTCCTCTACAACTAATTATTTTTTGGCAAGCATTTTCAGCCATATTAACAGTCAGCCAGGTGACATAGGAGAGTTCATGGCTAATGATAGCCGCTCTATTGTTAGTTCCTTGAAATGGGAAATTGTAGAATCGGTAATAGGAGTATAAAATTTGAGCATAAGTTGACGGTATGAACTTGGATTGCTTCCTGTTATACAAAAGGTTTCAACTGAGTTTTCGAATGCAATCATAAGTGCAGGTAATAAATAATCCTTATACGATTGTCATTAATTGAAAGAACCAGTTGCGTCTCGAAGGTGATAATATAAAATGTAAAAGTTTTTCACTAGAAAAATGACAAATACTTAAGAATTTCGAAATTCAACTTGGTTAGAAGTCCCCTTAATCTATAGCCTATAACTGTTTTTGCGAGATCTTTTCCTGAAAACTGTATTGCGCGTTGGATCCAAAAGGAATGTTATCGTTTTTATCCGGATACATTTTAATGTTATATCAGGTGCATTTGTGCAAATATTTCGCTCCAAAGTTCGACATACTTCCAGATTCGAAGGAAAGAAATGTAAAATATATTTATAAATATATTTTATCTTCAATCAAAAATGGAAAATTTTTTTTTTGATTGTTGAAAATTTATTCACTTCTTAGGCGAATAATAAAAAAGAACTGCTTTTCTATAGGTGCAATTTAAATTGAAGGTTGAATTTTATCAATTGATAAATTTTCATTTATCCACTCAAAAAAAACGAATGATTATTTTTTTAATGAATTAATTAGTTAAAAGTATTAAAAAAATTTCCTTAATTTTCAATTTTCAATTTAATTTTGATGTAAAATATTTCGTAGACGCTTGCTTTCATGTATATTTATTATTTGCTTTTATACGAAAGATTATAAAGTTTTACAATTCAATTTTAATAAATAGAAAGGAGAAACCAGAAAATAATAATCATTAAACTTTTTACAAAATGCAAAATAAAAAAATTATTTCTACATGTTTTCCTTTTTTTGCCACAATTTTCTATGAATTTTTCACAACGCGATATCCGATAAAATGAAATTCGTCGATTTCCTTTATGCCGAATTCTCAGATTTTATAATTTTTAGATAGACCTGATTGTTAATTGTTGGTACTAGCTGCCTCTCTCCTTCTATAGCTAATGACCTATTTACATGCATTTTTAGCCATAGTAAAAGTCGGCGAGCTAACATAGGAGGGTTCATGAATGATAACTACTCGATTATTTGTTCACTGATATGGGAAACTGCTGAGAAAGGAATTTTCTCGACACTGAGGGTTTAAGTTTTTGAGCAGATGTTGATGACGATGAATTTGCATGACTATCTGCAATACAAATTTTCAACTAAGTTTTCGAATGCAATCATAAATACAGGTAATAACGTTTAAACGAATTGATATTAAATGAAGTAATTATAAAGTAAATAATTATTTGCCTCTTGATTATAAAGGTTCTTGTAATGTAAAGGTTTTTCACTACAAAAATGAAAGCTACGTAAGGATTTCGAAATTCAGCCCAGTATGGCGTCCCTTAGTCTATAGCGAAGCCTCTTCATGAACAACTTTAGTGCATGTGGGATAGGATCCAAAGGGAATATTATAGTTTTTTGTGCGGGCGCATTCCAGCTGCACTCGATCTATTACAGAGACTAAATGAGCATATCGCTAATGTATCTTATATTAGGTGCATTTGTATAAATATTTTGCTCCAACATTTGACGTGGTAACGGATTGACTTGAAGGAAAGAAATCAAGCAAGTTTCTGCGATTTGCTTTTCATTATAAAATGAAAATCAAGAAAAAATGACTATACAGTTTTATTCCTTAATTTTATAATACATCGCACGTGTATTTAGGCAAATTTCTTCCGTAAATCTTTCATCGCGCTGCATAGAATCATACAATCATTTTCTCTTATAACGAATTTTTTTCTTATTTTCGTATAATATATTTTATAATTTTATATAAATTTTTTGCTTACGATAAAGCAAGAAAACCAATAGGCCTATTAAAAAGCTTATTAAATTGTGCTGTTGGCTTTTTCTGGCAGCATTCAGTAAAGATTTCGGGCTTATCTAACTGCACTGAACACCGGAGTGATGATCACTGCTCAGCTGTACTGTAGGATAAAAGTCTGTGTGATACGAACCAAACTTCATCTTCAATGGCAGTTTTATTTCAGCTAAGAATCTATCATTCGCGCTCAAAACAATATCACTCTTTTCGAAATGCCTTCGAAGAACGATATAATTATAGAAATTTTTCAGACACTATTAGTCAACCAGAAGTAAATCGTGCCGATTGCAAAACTCATTCGAATTGTTTGACATTTCACCGTTGCAGCGAAGTACGCCTGAAAAAAAATGATGAAAGCTTTTAGAATAAAATTAATGGATTTATTAATTGCAAATAGCTTAGTTATTATCAATGTATCGCTTATTTCATTCAGATTCTATGCAATATTATATTCCTTTTTTCTTCATAAATTAATTCAATTTAGCAAAAAGAAGGCGCTTTCTTTTTTTTGACATAATTTGATGAAAAAAAAACCATAAAAAAAATTGCTCCATGTATTTTTTATATTCCATAAAATTGTTACGGCATAGCAGCGATTTATTCAAAACATATAAAATATACGAGAAATACAAGAAAATAAGTGAAAATTAAGCATGTTATAAATTTTATTATTTTATAAACTTAGAAGCTATATGACAGTGTTGTGAATTTTAGGGATTGCTGTTTAGACATGAGAGATGAAATTTGAAGGGTATATAAAGAAGTTAATGACATGAGGCTGAGTGGTTTTGGCAATGCCATATTTATATGAATTATAAAATTAAGGGAAAAATGGATTTGGCGAAAATTTTTCATTAAATTATTAAAAAATCTTAAAAAAATTAAAATGTTTTATCATAAGGGAATTATAATAATATTTATTTTTCGTTTGATGATTGCCTGAAAAAAAAACGGTAGTTTCCGGTAGTTATCAAGTGATTTATAATTTTTTATATTGCATTAGTCCACGGTTGCTAAAAAACATTGCGCCAGTGCTACCCATCCAGGAAAGCATTTCGCAGAGATTAATCATTATTGCAATAAAAACAATATTGTAACAAAAAAGAAATTAAATGTGATTTATAAGATGATGTTTCCGCTATATTGAGAATATATTTTCGACAAATTTTGGAAGAGGTGAAATTTTGCACAAAAACTTTTTTCTAAGTATCAATCATTGAAATATTTTTTGCGCTGCTGGATGAAAAATACAGAATCACTTTTCGTTGAAGATCGCTTTTACAACTGAAAACAATTAAAAAACGATGAAGTAAATGTAATAAATTATTGGAAATATTAAAAAATAAAAACCTTTTTTTTTAACTTTTAAAAATCGAAGAATTAATCAAACAATTCAATTCGAGCAATTGATTATCAATATGATTAACGAATATTTAACGTCAGAGTAAACAAAAAAACAGTATAAAAAGGTTCTTAAAACTGGAATTGATTATCAACAGAATTTACAGCTCTCAATGAATTTTATTTATTTGCCTCTATTATTTTTTATTAGCTCTCAATGAATTTTATTTATTTCCCTCTATTATTTTTTATTTCTTGCGTAAGTGCTGGTGAAGATGTATCAATTAGTGTATGCAATAGACCACTTCCGCAACAAGCACCAGCAGATGGGGCACCTAGAGTAGGGGTGCCTGGAGTTGGAGTACCTGGAGTGGGAGTTCCTGGAGTTNAAAAAACAGTATAAAAAGGTTCTTAAAACTGGAATTGATTATCAACAGAATTTACAGCTCTCAATGAATTTTATTTATTTGCCTCTATTATTTTTTATTTCTTGCGTAAGTGCTGATGATGTTTCAATTAAAGTATGCAGTAGACCACTTCTGCCACAAGCACCAGCAGTTGGTGTACCTGGAGTAGGAGTGCCTGGAGTTGGAGTACCTGGAGTGGGAGTCCCTGGAGTTGGAGTACCTGGAGTTGGAGTTCCTGGAGTTGGAGTACCAGGAGTAGGAGTACCTGGAGTAGGAGTGCCTGGAGTTGGGGCAGCAGCTGAAGTTATGAATCGTCCAACTGTCGATCCAAATCTATGTTTCGACTTGGACCCAAAAGCGTGTTCAGAAATATTCAAGTTGCATACACCAGATCAAACAATTCCAGCACAACTTAATCCGTAAGAAATTTTATCTAAATTTTATTCAAACGATCATTTATACAAATGAGTTTCCTTCGAATATTTCGTTAACAAAAGATAAAATATAAGGACTACATAATAATGCAGAAAAATGATATATATAATAAAAATCGTAAGAAATTTTATCTAAATTTTATTCAAACGATCATTTATACAAATGAGTTTCCTTCGTATATTTCGTTAACAAAAGATAAAATATAAGGACTATATAATAATCCAGAAAAACGATATATATAATAAAAATTACCGACTTAATTTTTGTTCTATAGAAATGCATTATTTCAGTGCAGCCGACTATAAAGTAAGCGCAAATTGTCAAAATGTAATTTATAAGTACTTAGCCGAACAATTGTGTCCTCGCTCTTGCGCGACGTGTTGCAAAACAAGAAAATTCAACTGCAATAATGGTTTTAATAAATTTCAAATGAATCCAAATTTAAATCAGAATTTAAAACTGAATTGAAATTTAAAAAGCATTTAAAATATAGAATTTCATGTAGTGAAGATTTCAGTGGGACAATGCGAGAATTTCACGCAAGAAATGTGCAGAACACCTTATCTTAGCAGAATAGCGTTCGAATTTTGCCCACATACATGCGGACTTTGTGATCTCCCTGGTGCTGGTGGCGAATGTCCAGACAGCATTGATGGATGCGAAAGTTTGAGGGGATTTTGTCAACATGATTCGATTAGAAATATTTGCCAAAGAACTTGTCTTTCAAAGGATTGTCTTCAAAATCTGACGAGTAAGTTGCAAAGATGATCGCTTGACTAGAAATTTCCTCAAATTATGCTTAGAAGGATTTATTGCTGTAATTGGATTGAGCGTTATTTTTCACCATAATTGATACTGTTGAACATATG